AGGCCCTAAGAAACATTATAAGAAGCTAGGAAAACATTTCAGGGACCAACGTTGAGGTTGTACAAGTGAAAATGGAACTCGAGTCAAATTCTGTAGTCACTTGCGCCTGAAAACGTACAGTAATCCTTTAATAACGCTTCGAACTTCCGAGCATCCTTCCTGAGAGAAAAATAAAGAGGACTCAGCAACTTACGACAATGTGCAGAAACGTTAAGCAAACAAGATATAGGAGATGAATAAACCTGCCCCAAAGGCTCGGTAAACGTGAGGAATGGGACCTCCAAACCGCCCTACTAAAGAAGTTCGCAAGCAAGAACTTCCTTGAGAACATGCCCTGTCTCAATTCATTATCCCACGGGATCTAGCAACAGAACATTCAATTAGTAGTTCAACCAGCTCTTGGTCGACAAGTATTGCACAAAAGCTGATCAATGTAAAAGAAGATGAATCTGTCATCTTTCCACCAAGCCCTCTGCTAGTATGCTACTGACCTCATCACATGTGCCACTATTTTCATAAGCAGATTTTTGGATCTCAAATTCTTCTTTCGAGACAGAACCCATCAGTAACGCATGAGTAGCGGCATCTGGGACCCAACCTTTCTCCAACATCAAGTCCAGATATTGTTTTGCCTCACTTTTGTATCCCTCTCCGCAGAGGCCATTAATCAACTGGTTGTAAGTCACAGAATCAAGAATTTCGGAATTAAGCTTATCTAATGATAACAAGATTAAGTGCACTCGAGAATACTTAGCCAAAAACTGCAATAAACAAACTAATGTATCAGAACTAGGTAAAAAACCCTCCTCAAGCATCAAGTTGAAAAAAGAGATGGAGTCAGATACTCGATTGAGAGCACTCGTGCTCTTAATAAGTATGCAGTAAGTTTCTTCATCAAATGCACAACCAACTACCATCATCTTTGAAACCAAGACCAAGATATCATCCATGTGGCCCAACATAAATAATCCTCGCATGATACAATTGTAAGTAGAACAAAAACAGACAGTACCAGAGTAGTAAGCCACCGACAGTAACCTAGCAGCACTGTCGACCTTTCCACTTGCACAAGTCTCCTCAATCAACTTATTGAAAGAGGTAGATCGAAGAGCGCAACCCTTCCTAGACATATAGCAAAAGACTTTAGCTGCCTCTTGAGTGTTTTCCCTCTGGCAAAGACATTCAACAAGTTCAGCATATGAGACAGAATCCAAAACCCAACATTTAGATCTAACGGTGGAAAACAACTGCAGAGCATCCTCAAACTTCCCCATTCTGCAGTAACCAGTAATAAGAGCAGAATAAGTAGCAGAGTCAGGAACAAATAAAGAAACGATCATCCTACATAAAAACTCCAATGCTTTACTGATCGCTGCATTCTCACAAAGGAATCTGATAAGGATATTGCAAGACGTAACATCAGTTATATTCCTCCCAAACATTCTATAAAATGTACTTTTTGCCATAGAAAAATTACTAGTGGCACAAAAGGCTTCAAGAAGTGTATTGTAAGGAGAAGTGTTGATTACATTTTTCTCCTCCAAAAACATAATAGCTTCAGTGAATTTATTTAATTTGCAAAACCCATTTACTATATCCAAAAATGTTTCTTCCTCAGGCGACAAGCCACGATCTATCATCTCTTCAAAAAGTTTCGTAGCATCATCCAAATGAAGATGGTCACACAAACAGTTTATCAAGGCCGCATACGTAGCTGAATCTGGAGAGATGTTAGAAGCTCTCATCATCCTAAACAACTTCATGCCTACCTCAAGATTATGCAATCTACAGAATATAGTTATTACACTGATATAGAAATTTAAATCCGGCTCACATCCAATTTGAAACATCTCGTCGAGCAAAATAATCGATTCTTCCACTCGATTCCTAGCAACTAGACTATTAATGAGTATCTCAAAAGTCCTACTATTAGGATTACATCCTTTCTTATGCAATCTTCTGTACTGATCCAAAGCTGTATCCACTCTCCCAGCTGCAAACAATGAATCTAACAGGTAATTCATAGTATCAATATCTGGAAGAATACCTGATTTCACCATTTCTTTATAGACAAACAACACATCCTTAAATTCTTTCTTTTCCTCCAAAAGTGCGCCCATTATCGTATTAAAAACACCTAAAGAGGGCTTAAAACTGCTTAAATTCATAACATAGAGAACCCTTAAAGCTTCATTGAGCCGATGATTTTTAACAAATGAATCTATCAATGCCAAGAGAGATTCTCCGAAACCCAAGCATTTATCAATTACCATCTTATTACAAAATCCCTCCATTTCTTCTACATTTCCAGCCATGCCCAACTTCAGTATTATCCTATAATATGTATCTGCGGTATGGTTAAATCGGTTTTGAAGGGAAGCCCATTTAAATAGCTTTATTGAAGAGTTCAAATCAGGCATGCTATCCAAAACAGTAACTAAACTTTCCGGATGAAGCTTGTTCTTTAGAAATTGAATCTTTGCTTCAAACTCAGAGGAATCTGATTGGTTTTGATAGGTTTCTGGGTTGGATTGGATTTTATTTTCACAACAAATTGAAGAAATATAGGCGTTTGAAGAAACCAATTTGGGAATTCTCCAGCAAAATCTCAAAGACGAAAGCTTTACAGCCATTGAAGCTTCTAACAACAATTTCCAAAGAAAATTAACGAACAACCCCTTTGTACGAAATCACGCAAGGCAAATTCGTAGGATTTAGCAAAAATTCATAATAGTTCGTAGAACTTACAGATGAAACGGGTGTTTTCGGAAGATCCCCTGTGGACTGAACTCGTAGAAGCAACTTCACTACGACCCTTTGGGAGATGTTTTGGAATATATGAATAAATTCATTTTTTCAGGGATGGTTAATTTTGTTGTGATATAAATAATTTTTTTTATCTTTTTTATCATAATATTTAGGGGTAGGCAATTCGAACCAAAATTTTCGGGTATATAGTAAATGGAACCGTCAGGTCCAAATATAATTATGGAACCGTTCGGGTTCGATTCCGTTCGGTTCGGTTCGGTTCGGATCCGTCCGGTTCTATACTATAATTAATTTTTTTAATATTTATAACAACATTATATAAGTACAACTAATGATACATTCAATGGTTTTGGAATGTCATAGACTAGTAGACTACTTTGTTCAAATGATCGTTATGGTCAAAATTTCGATCGGCGGAGGTCGCAACTTCGATCGGAGGTCACAGCATCAACCGACGATTGTATAGATTTTGAAATGTCAGCGAGACTGTGAGAGTAAATGCGAGAGTCGAGACAACGTTATGCACTTTAGTGTAGGTGTTTAGAGTTATTTAGTGGATTTGATCTTGTTGGGCTAAGAAATGAAACAATAAAATGGGTAATAGGGCCAAAAATTAAAAAATTAGAAATGAAAAAAATTATTGGACCAAAAATTTGGATTTAGAAAATGTTAATTTGTTAATTTGTTTAGAAAAATTAAAATAAAAATAATTTGATTTACTTAATATAAAAAAAATAGAAATATTCGGTTCTTCGGTTCTTGGTCTAGAACCGAGAACCGAACCGTACCCGTCAGT